TTACAGGGCTTGTCTCAGTAGTCCCCCAGTTTTTTCTGATTCAGCAGTTGCAATTGCTTTTCTCTCCTCTGTCCTCGGTCCTCTTTGGCTGATCAGCAGCCACCTCGAGCCTTCTGACTCTAAGTCACGCTTCTTCAGTGACGTTGACCAGTTGCAGTCTTTGATTGCCCGAGCACCCAGGGGTCACACGGTGTTGGTTTTTTTTTCTCCGGACTCCGACGATCCCCTAGGGATCCAAGGTCGCATTTCCAGGCACGTGGGGCCCTACGTTTCAGGCGACGCGGGGTGGGAGGGGCACCTCGTGCGCGAAATCCTTTTTGTAAATGATTTGGCTGCGGCGAGCACGTGGGGGCAAGGTGGCGCGTGCCAGGCAACCTGCTTATGCAGCCTTGCGGTGGAGCCGCGCCAGATAGATCATGTCTTTGCGCCTTGCAGTCTGCCACAATCAGCCTATTCGGTCAGCGCTAGAAACACTAGTGCGTCTAAAAGCGATCATTTACCGCTTTTGTTTCGGGCTTTCGGAACCCCGAGGCCGAAGTTCGTTTTCGACCCCGTGGTCCAGTCGCAGTTCACGTCGAAACCTTTGGCGTGGATTCAAACGGACTTCACGATGAGCAGGCAATGCGACGAGGCACTGGGGTTAGATGCCCCGAGCCCCTGCACGGCGCCGGGCTCCAGATTGTTCTCAGACGGTCATTTCAAAGCAAGAAAGGGTAGAGCCACGCAGTGTGGGTGGGGGTTCGTAGCCTATTCCATCCCCCCCCCATGTCCAGTCTACGTGCGAGAAGATATGCTTTCAGGCATGCGGTGCAGTGGTTCTGGATACCACAAATCCCAGGTACCTTGGTGCAATGCGGCTGACCAACAACACGGCTGAACTGGCAGGTGCAATTGAGCTGTGCGCGCGGTTACTTGCGCAGGCCCAGGGCGGCGTCCAATCTACCATCCCTCTCGGCGCATATCGAGGTTCTTTTTGACTCTACTTACGTTCTCGGTCTCATTGACTCCAAATTCACACCTAAGCACCACGTCTTGATGTATGAGGTGTTATCTTTGCTTTGGGAGCAAGTGAAGCGGTTGTTTGAGGTTCGGGCCGCGTGGGCGAAAGGACACCAGGGGACCGAAGGCAACGAGATCGCTGATAGTCACGCCAAAATCGGAGGTGCGCCCAGCGCCAGGAGTAGATACAAGTGGTGCGTGAAGCGACCTTACTTACTCTGGAGCGACACACTCTCCTCCCTCCCCTCTCGTCTACATGTTCGTGATATGCCGCAGGAGGAATGCGTTTTCCTTGCCAGTGTGAGCTCCGACAGTTACCGCGAGGTACGATCGGCTTACGCTCTGTTCGATGCTGCCCCTGCGGGTTACCTGCCACGACAGCGGAAGTGCGCTACGATGCGCAGGTTGGACCCCGACATTTGTGAGGAACCCGACGGGGCCATGGTGTCGAGGAGGAGGGGTGGGATGGGTAACGAATTGCCGACTTTATCATTTTTGTGCGAGGGTGGTTGCGACGACGGCGGTGAAATGTGGGCGCGCACATTACCAGAAAATCATCCACAGGTTCAGTTGGTCAGAGAACTCCAATCCATGCGGGGCATGGAAGCGGATCCAGTGCTTAGACACCAAGTAGGGCATGCTCTGGTCTCGGAGCGACATGCTCTCGCGAGACAGCAAGCGGATCTTCGCTTGACGGCAGCGTTTGCGCAGAAGGGGTCGATCAAGGAGAGAGGAGCCATGATGCAGGTGAAGGCGCTGGAGGGGGAGGAGGGTCGACTTACGACGGATCACGACGAGATGAGACGTATGGTACATGCATTTTACATTACCCTATATACCGACCCAGAACACAAACCAATGCCAGAGTGGGTTTACCAACGGTGGACGCGAGCGGACCTCGCGAGCCTACCGCCTGTGAGTGCTCATCTCTTGCGAGCACAGCTGCAGCGCATGAGAGATGGAAAGACTTGGTCGAAAGACGATATGCTGGTTGCAGAGATGCTACAGACATTGAGTGACGACGCGCGAAGTATATCAGCGGAGTTATACATATTGCGTATTTCGACTCACCCGACGGAGGAGGTGGAACCGTTGCGGGACCGTCATCAGGTTATTCTTCTTCAAAAATTCTTCGGGGCGAAAAAGGTGAAGGATTCCAGGCCGGTTGCGATCCTCTCGGTGCTACTTAAGCTTTACTCTATGGTTTTGGGCTTCTTGTCGGGACTGGCGGATCAAACGTTAACGGAATATCAGTTTGCAAATAGGAAACAGTATCAGATGCATGACACAGTATCGAGTACACGCCTGCTCGTGGAACGGGCAAACGAGTTTGCCGAACCGCTGTTCTTGGGGGTGGGAGACCTCCACAAGGCTTTCGATATGGTCGACCACGCGGCATGGATTGCCACGCATGAGGTGCGGAACGTTCCGCGCATTGTGACAGCCGCGAGACTACGTGAAGTGAGGAGAGGTGTACCCGGCATTTGCATGACAGGACTGGACCCCACGGGCGGAATTGGGCGAACCAGGTCTATACCCCAAGGGGGCCCTGAGGCTCCAAGGGAATTCACTTATTATCTTGACGTGGCGGTGGAAATATTCGTGGGGGTGTGCAAGAAAAACAAATGGGGTTATCCTCTGGAGGCGGCGGATATTGCGCGTCTTGGGCGTGGAAGTATGAGGGGGGGGGGGGGGGGGGGGGGGGGGCGAAAAAGAGGAAGATTCTGCGGGACCTCAGAAGACTCCCTATCATGATTTGTGCTGACAATTATTTCTTATACGCCACTAGCTCGCGGATGCTGGCCCAGATGTTTGAACCCTGGCATGAAATTGTTAGGAGTTTGAAGTGCGTTGTGCATGCGAAGGACTGCTATTGGATGACAACAGCAGCGGACGATTCAACTGGCATTGTCTTGGAGGGTTTTCGGATACCCAGGATATCTCGGAATGAGGGTTTTAGGCGTTTGGGAGCGTGGATCACTATGGACCACAATGCGACGAAATGTGTGCAACGCATGTTGTCTAGAGGGTGGGCGGCCTTTGCGCGCCGCCGAGCTGTGCTGTGTGCCAAGCCGGGGAAGCTGGCACGAAGATTGCAATTCTTGGAGAGCCTTGTGAAAAGTGCGGCGTTCTTTTGTGCAGGCAGCCTTTTGTATACTAGGCGACAGCTCAGACAGTTCAAAGCCATGCACTGCCGTATGATTAGACAGATGTTGGGGCTTCGGAAAGCCCCCGATGAAACGATTCCTGATTTTCAGAGAAGGGTTAATAGGAAAATCCAAGATATTATTGACCGGCATGAAGTGGTGACTTGGGACAGATTTGTACAGTTTCAGACGCACAAATGGGCAGGACACGCTGCCAGAATGCGCAGGTACGGTGCGACACGTGTACTGCCGCAGGCTCTGGCCTACAAGGATAGGGCCTACCTCGACCGCATAGTGCGCGCGACAGGCAATCAAGGACACGGACGGAAGATTCACGCCTGGAGATGGGAAGACCTTTTTTTGTATTATGGATTGCAGTGGAGGGAGGTTTGTGATGATCAGGAGAGGTGGAATGATACGGCGGGTGAGTGGGTGGAGTGGAGGTTACATGCGTGGGGCGCCAGGCAGCACAAAAGACAGAGGATCGCGGACGGAAAATGGATTCTTCAGGCGCTCCAGCAGTATGACTTGCTTTGTTCTCTCCCCCCTGACGGCTACGAGTAGACTGTCTTGTTTTTAGTTTCTCCCCCCCTGTGTGGCTCCCCTTACTAAATCTTCTTGTAGGCCCAGGCCCAAAGGCACCGAACTCCGAGAGGCTGTGTCTATCTATCTATATATATCCCTCCTCCCTCCTCCCTTCCTCCCTCCTCCTCCTCCTCCTCCTCCGCCTCCTCCTCCTCCTCCTCCTCCCTCCTGCTCCTCCTCTCCTTCCTCATCCTCCTCCCCCTCACCTCCCTCTCCCCCTCCTCCTCCTCCTCCTCCTCCTCCTCCTCCTTCCTGCTCCTCCTCCTCCTCCTCCTCCTCCTCCTCCTCCTCTCCTCCCTCCCCCCTTCCCCTCCCCCCCTCCCTCCCTCCCTCCCTGGTCAAGCCCTCCCCCGAGCAGGAGAGGGAGGGTGAGAGAAGACAAAACTGATTGAACCACGTACGCCCACAGGGCTACTAGGATACTGGGGCATGCTTTCCTCGCGCCTTAGTCGGCCGGGCGTAGCCGCTCCCTTTGCCTTGCTTCTGGGCGTCGAGAGCTTCTGCTTACTTGGGTTGTGAGGCAGGGTCTCCTCGTCGGCTTTGTCTTTTGGCCGTTGGGTCTGTGAGCTCGTTCCGAGGGTGGCCAGCGTGCGCGTATCCATTCGTTTCCATTTCGGCCCAAGTTGTACCAGCTCGTTCGGGCTCTGTCGCACGCGCGGGCCCCATCGGCTCGGCAGCATCACCAGCATGGCCCAGCGCGCTTCGCTCGCGGCCGCTGCCGGCCTAGCGGCCGCCGCCTGCCTGAAGCCAGGCCCGTCCTTCGTGTCCTCGCAGGGCGCTCCCAGCGCGGCCACCGAGGAGCTGTTCCAGGCGTCGCCCGCGCAGGCGGCCCCTGCCCTTCGCGGGGCCGCACGCGCCCAGCCCAGCCCCTCGGGGGGAGCGGCGGCCCTGGCAGCGCCGGCGGCCGGCGCCGCCCTCGCCGCGGCCGTGGGGTCCAAGCGCCGCGGTCGCGCCAACAAGCTGGCGGCTGGCAAGGCCGCGTCCGTCGTCCCGGTCCGCGAGGCACGCGCCAGCGTGGCCCGCCGCGCCTTGGACCAGTCGAGCCGCTACGCGGACCTGTCGTTGACGGAGGAGGACCTGATCAAGAACGGCCAGCACGTGCTGGTGGCCTACATCATGAAGCCCAAGGCGGGTTACGACTACCTGGCCACCGCGGCGCACTTCGCGGCGGAGTCCTCCACCGGCACGAACGTGAACGTGTGCACCACTGACGACTTCACCAAGACTGTGGACGCGCTCGTTTACTACATTGACCCGGAGAACGAGGAGATGAAGATCGCCTACCCGACGGCCTTGTTCGACCGCAACATCACCGATGGCCGCGCAATGATGTGTTCCGTTTTGACTCTCAGCATCGGGAACAACCAGGGTATGGGTGACGTCGACTACGGCAAGATCTACGATATCTACTTCCCGCCGCAGTACCTGCGCCTGTTCGACGGGCCGTCGTGCTGCGTGATCGACATGTGGCGCATCCTGGGCCGCGGCACCGTCGGCGGTGGGCTGGTGGTCGGCACCATCATTAAGCCTAAGCTCGGCTTGCAGCCGAAGCCCTTCGGCCAGGCGTGCTATGGCTTCTGGCAGGGCGGCGACTTCATCAAGAACGACGAGCCGCAGGGCAACCAGACGTTTTGCCAGATGAACGAATGCATCCCCGAAGTCGTGAAGGCCATGCGCGCGGCCCAGGAGGAAACGGGCCAGGGCAAGCTGTTCTCCGCCAACATTACGGCGGATGATCCCAACGAGATGATCGCACGTGCCAAGTACATCCTGAATCAGATGGGCCCGATGGCGGAGAATTGCGCCTTCTTGGTAGACGGATACGTGGCTGGCGGCACTGCGGTGACCGTTGCGCGCCGCAATTTCCCGAAGCAGTTTCTGCACTACCACCGCGCCGGCCACGGCGCAGTGACCAGCCCTCAGACGCAGCGTGGGTACACCGCCTTCGTGCACACCAAGCTGTCGCGCGTCATCGGTGCCAGCGGCATCCACACGGGCACGATGAGCTTCGGCAAGATGGAGGGCGATGCTTCGGACAAGAACATCGGCTTCATGCTGCAGGACGACGTCGCCGACGGCCCGTACTACCGCCAGGAGTGGGAGGGCATGAAGCAGACCACCCCGATCATCTCGGGTGGCATGAACGCCCTGCGGCTGCCTGCGTTCTTCGAGAACCTGGGTCACTCGAACGTGATCCTGACGGCCGGCGGTGGGGCTTTCGGGCACAAGGACGGGCCGAAGCAGGGCGCGATCTCGTGCGCCCAGGGCGAGGAGTCGTGGAAGTTGTGGAAGGCAGGCACCTACGGCGACGTGAGCCTGTCGGACGGTGTCGTCGAGTACGCGAAGACGCACGAGGAGCTCAAGGGCGCGTTCTTGACGTTCCAGAAAGATGCGGACCAGATCTACCCTGGCTGGAAGGAGAAGCTCGGCTACACCGGCGAGTCCTCCGTCCAGGCCGCCAGCTTCAACTGGCAGAAGAAGGATTTGGCCGCGGCGTTCGTTGGCGCCAGCACGACTCGCAAAGCGAGCTCCGTGGCCCGCCGTGCCTTGGACCAGTCGAGCCGCTACGCGGACCTGTCGCTGACGGAGGAGGACCTGATCAAGAACGGCCAGCACGTGTTGGTGGCCTACATCATGAAGCCCAAGGCGGGTTACGACTACCTGGCCACTGCGGCGCACTTCGCGGCGGAGTCTTCCACTGGCACGAACGTGAACGTGTGCACCACTGACGACTTCACCAAGACTGTGGACGCACTCGTCTACTACATTGACCCGGAGAACGAGGAGATGAAGATCGCCTACCCGACGGCCTTGTTCGACCGCAACATCACCGATGGCCGCGCAATGATGTGTTCCGTTTTGACTCTCAGCATCGGGAACAACCAGGGTATGGGTGACGTCGACTACGGCAAGATCTACGATATCTACTTCCCGCCGCAGTACCTGCGCCTGTTCGACGGGCCGTCGTGCTGCGTGATCGACATGTGGCGCATCCTGGGCCGCGGCACCGTCGGCGGTGGGCTGGTGGTCGGCACCATCATCAAGCCTAAGCTCGGCTTGCAGCCGAAGCCCTTCGGCCAGGCGTGCTATGGCTTCTGGCAGGGCGGCGACTTCATCAAGAACGACGAGCCGCAAGGCAACCAGACGTTTTGCCAGATGAACGAATGCATCCCCGAAGTCGTGAAGGCCATGCGCGCGGCCCAGGAGGAAACGGGCCAGGGCAAGCTGTTCTCCGCCAACATTACGGCGGATGACCCCAACGAGATGATCGCGCGTGCCAAGTACATCCTGAATCAGATGGGCCCGATGGCGGAGAATTGCGCCTTCTTGGTAGACGGATACGTGGCTGGCGGCACTGCGGTGACCGTTGCGCGCCGCAATTTCCCGAAGCAGTTTCTGCACTACCACCGCGCCGGCCACGGCGCAGTGACCAGCCCTCAGACGCAGCGTGGGTACACCGCCTTCGTGCACACCAAGCTGTCGCGCGTCATCGGTGCCAGCGGCATCCACACGGGCACGATGAGCTTCGGCAAGATGGAGGGCGATGCTTCGGACAAGAACATCGGCTTCATGCTGCAGGACGACGTCGCCGACGGCCCGTACTACCGCCAGGAGTGGGAGGGCATGAAGCAGACCACCCCGATCATCTCGGGTGGCATGAACGCCCTGCGGCTGCCTGCGTTCTTCGAGAACCTGGGTCACTCCAACGTGATCCTGACGGCCGGCGGTGGGGCTTTCGGGCACAAGGACGGGCCGAAGCAGGGCGCGATCTCGTGCGCCCAGGGCGAGGAGTCGTGGAAGCTGTGGAAGGCAGGCACCTACGGCGACGTGAGCCTGTCGGACGGTGTAGTCGAGTACGCGAAGACGCACGAGGAGCTCAAGGGCGCGTTCTTGACGTTCCAGAAGGATGCGGACCAGATCTACCCTGGCTGGAAGGAGAAGCTCGGCTACACCGGCGAGTCCTCCGTCCAGGCCGCCAGCTTCAACTGGCAGAAGAAGGAGTTGAGCTGAGTGCAGCGGTGAGTTGAGTGCAACCATGGCATGCCCATGGCAAGCAGAACATTTTTTGTTTTTTTTGTTTTATTATTGCCCGGCTGCTCATGCTGAAAGTTCCTCTCATTGTGATATATGTTGATAGACATTATTTCGGATGAGAAGGACGAGGAGGGGACATCGTCTCTGATGTAAGTTTGACGCACAATCAACTCACTCGTGGACACACACCAGGACATGAATGACATGTGTTGTATATCTATGTTCTATATATATATATGTATTCAACGGTATTTGGGCATTTTTTCTTTTGATTACCGTCGTCGAGTTCTCATGCTTAAGGAATAACTGTTGATCCCCCCGCACGGTGCCCACTGCTTTTTTAATTCAAAGTATTATTCCCGGGGCCCGCACCTTCTTTTTTCGAAGGGAACTTTTTGGGGCTCAGATTGCGTTGTTGGGCCCCAGACTACGACAACAAGCAAAACAGCTCCCGCCCGATACATCCTCACAGGCTATTTGAGAATAGCGCCCTCGCGAGGGACATCCTCACAGTGTATGCAGGAATCGCGTTCTCCCGTGGTACTTCCATGCAGTCGATTGAAACGCCGCGCCCTCGACACTCAGGGATCAGGCTCTCGCTCCCTTTGTTTTTCTTGTTGTATTTGGGAATTGCATTATCGTTCGGTTCATGCAGGACGCACGTTTCAGCAACCCGCCTGCTTGACCGGGCCGCCTGACCCCGCCTTCCCGACCCGCCCGTTAGGTTCTACCCGCCCGATCTGCCCGCCGGGTTCTGCTACGTGTTTTCTGCGAAAGGCGATGGAAGGCGAAGATGGCGGGCATCGAGGGTTTGGAGTAAACGTCTTGGATGGCACTCGAGCAAATTAGAGCGAACAGTCTTAAAACGTTTGTCGTTGTTGTTGCTGTTGCTGTTGCTGTTGCTGTTGCTGCTGTCAGCACTCACCTCTTTCTCTACGGAATGATGATGTTGTCGTTATTGTTGCTGTGGTTGTGAGTGGGGCTGCTGTTGGTGATGCTACCGCTGCTGTTGTCGATCATGTTGGTGTTGCCCTTGTCGAACCTTCAATGCAAAACAGCTCACTTGGGTAAGTCTGTTGTTTTGGCCTCTCCCCTGTTGAATAGGAGTGGTCCTGAAAGCTGCTCCTCCTCCTGCTCCTCCTGCTCCTCCTCCTCCTCCTCCTCCTTCTCCTCCTCCACCTCTCCTCCCACCTTTTCCCCCTCCTCTTCGTCCTCCTCCTCGTCCTCCTCCCCCTCCTCCTCCGCCCCCTCCTCCTCCTCCTCCCCCTCCTCCTCCTCCTCCTCCTCCTCCTCCTCCTCCTCCTCCTCCTAGTAGTAGCACTACTACTGCGACTACGACGACAATTTTTTATGCCTATTTTTGCCACCACTACTAGTACTGCTGCGACCACCACCACCACTGCTACGACGACTACTACTACTACTACTACTACTTCTACTACTACTACTACTACTACTACTACTACTACTACTACTACTACTACTACTACTACTACTACTAGTACTACTACTAGTACTTACTACTACTGCTACTACTACTACTACAACAACTACTACTACTACTGCTGCTACTACTACTACGAATACGATACTACTACTACTGCACCACTACTACTACTGACTTACTACTGACTTACTACTACTACTACTACTTACGACTATGATTACATTACTACTACTACTATTACTACTACTACTACTACGGACTAATACTACTACTACTACTTACTACTACTACTACCACTTTACTACTACTACTACTTACTATTACTACTACTTACTACTACTACGTACGACGACTACTACTATACTACTATACTACTACTACTACACTACCACCAATACTACTACTTACTACTACTACTAACTGCTGCTGATGCTGCTACTACTACTACTACTGTTGCTTTGCTGCTACTACTACTACTGCTAATACTACTACTAACTACTGCTACTACTCCTGGACTCATTACTACTACTACTACTAGTACTACTACTACTACACTACTACTACTACTATGCTACTGATACTGCTACTGCTGCTACGACTACTACTACTACTACTACTACTACTACTACTACTACTACTACTACTACTACTACTGCGGCCACTGCTACCACTATTACTACTACTACTACTACTACTGCCATGTCTATTGCTGCGACTACGTGATGTACTGCTGCTGCGACTACTACTAATACTACGACGACGACTATGATTAGTAGTCATACTCCAACGACAACTACTACTACTACTACTACTACTACTACTACTACTACTACTACGACTACTGCTACTACTACTACTACTACGACTACGACTACCACTACCACTACTACTACTACTACTACTACTACTACGACTACTACTACTACTGCTACTACTACTACCATCGTCACTACAACTACGACTAACTCAACTACGACTACCACGGCGACGACCACTATTACTGTTACGACAATTACTCCGATTACTACGACCTTTACTACTACCACTACTACTACTACTACTACTACTACTACTACTACTGCTAGTACTACGGCTACTACTACTACTACTACTACTACTACTACTACTACTAACTACTACTGTTACTACTACTACTACTACTACTACTACTACTACTACTACTACTACGACTACTAGTAATACGAGTACTACGGCCACCTACTACTACTACTATTACTACTACTTCTACTTCTACTTCTACTTGTACTACAACTACGACTACGACTACTACTACTACTACTACTACTACTACTGCGGCTTCTACTACTAGTGCTACTACTACTACCACTACTACTACTACTACTACTACAACTACTACTACTA